GTGTGTGTGTGTGTGTGTGTGTGTGTGTGTGGTTATGCTGAAGTTTCTCGTAGTGGCTGCGTTCTGTTCCCAACCTTTGGGCAGTTAACTTCGACGTTCCTGGTCTCAATTTCGGTGTTTTTTCTTTAACCGAAATTGTCAGGGCTTACCGTGTTCCCGCCAGTAGGACCTGACGGCGATTTTGGTAAAAAAAATTTGATTAAATTGCACCCAGGAATGTCGAAGTTGAATGCCCGAAGGCGTATTATGATTTGAGTGCGGAAGGCATAGCGAGTTCAGGCTTGGGCAAACGAGATTTGGTGAAGTAGGGTTGGGCGAAGTGGTGATTTTTTAAGTGGTGTGTGTAATCTCATCAGAACTTACTACTTGGTAGTTTTTGCCACTTTTTGGAGGGTTTTTTTTTTTTTTTTTTTTCAACTATGAAAATGTGCTTTTCAAAGTGTTAGAACGAGGAGTTGCATGATTGAGTGTCCTTCTCTGTTGGTTCTAACACTCTGCTATCTTCATCACTCATATTGCAGGTTGGAGTTTTTCGACGAGGGCGATTCGTGAAGGGGAAGAAAGGGCGCCCAATGGTTGTTGAGGTAAATCGGTGCCCTTCTGAGTAATTGCTGCTGCTAGATTGGACTAGTGTTTTTTTTTTTTTTAGGTCCCCCAGAAACTAGTTTGTGACACTTTGTGTGTAGGTTGGGGTTTGTCTTTGAGGGAGATTTGTGAAGGGGAAGTAAGGCTGGTTAGGTGTCTTCCGAGTAGCAGCTGCTGCTTGATCATACTACCGTGTTCACCGGAATAGAACGCCCGGGGTCATTTTCGCTTCATGTACCCCGAAAAAAAATGCCTCAATACGGCTATACTGACCAGTGAGTTCTATTTCGGGTGAAGACGGGGCAGGCAACCCAGGGGCCCAAACAGCTTTTCGGAAGGCCAGGGCTGTGATTTGACACCCCATTTATTTTCGACCAGCGGTTCTGGACTCTGGACCAGCGATTCTTATGATCGATCACTCCCCCTGTTCCTTAGTCCCGGCTGTCAAGATCTACCAGCTACCATCGGTCCGGATTGGAGGCTGAGCTTTGTGCCTCCTGGCTCCTGGTTTCGTTTTCGAACCGCTGGTCCAGAGTCCAGAACCGCTGGAAAAAGAAAGAAAAAAAAAATGGGAGAGGGGAAGGCGGGGGGCGGGTGCTGTTGGCAGGCACTTACCTGCTTTGCACTTTGTAGTTCAGGCAGCAGCGCGCCTGTCTTGCAGCAAATCAAGTTAATCAACGAGCACATTCGACTAGCAGACATGCAGAGTTGCAAACAGTGCAAAGAAGGCTCAAGACTGAAGAAACAGAGGAACTTTGAATTCAGTAATTTAAGTTCAAGCTTCATAAAGTGAAATACGGTCAAAGTACCACTACTATCAAGTTATTAACGGTAATTTAACATTATTTTACTTGTTTTGTGAGGTGGAGCCGGGGCTCTGCCCCTGCTTCTCGATGCGATGTGCAGGCCCTAGTGGCCTGTCCCGATCCAAGCGAAAGACATTGTCAGGTGGGGAGTTTGGCTGGGGCGGCACATCTGTTAGAAGATAACGCAGGTGTCCTAAGACGATATCAATGAGAACGGAAATCTCATGTGGAGCAAAAGGGCCGAAGCTCATTTGATTTTGAGAGTTCGAACTTCGCAGTTCCAATTCACAATGTCAGAGTCTTCGACTGGCAGCACTGTCAGAACGGGCCGCAGCGGCGGGCGGGACATGGAAATGGCCGCTTTGAAATTGCTCGGGCCCTGTCTCTTATACACATCTAGATGTGTATAAGAGACAGGAGAACGGGCCGCAGCGGCGGGCGGGACATGGAAATGGCCGCTTTGAAATTGCTCGGGCCAGTGTGAAACCCGCCAACCGAAAGACCTGCGGTGTCTTGTGTCCGGACCTCTAGGCCCTGTCCGGTGGGGTGAAACGACACTGAAAGATCATTCCGTTATTTTTCAAGGGGCGGCCAGGACCCGAAAAACGTCCTGGGCCGCCCCTTTACTTTTTTCGATTTTTGCCCTGGCGGCCTCCATCCGGACATGAGGACCCGACACCGGACACCGGACATGTCGTTCCGGACTGTCTGGAACCCAGTCTGGACGTCCGGTCGTCATTTGCCATGCTTTTTCTTCTTCTTCTTCTACCGCTGCCTTTCATCTGTGCATGATTGAACAGGGAGGTCTACCTAGTACCTACGTACGTAGGCTTCCCGCCTGCCGTTGTGCGAGTCCTCTTAATAATTCTTATATTTATTTGAAAATATTTGTCTCCTGTCTGTTGTGCGAGTTCATTTTCCGCCCACGTAATTGTCTGGGTGTGTTGTGCATGCATCCACATCATCCATGCATTTGATTCTGTTTTGTTCTGTGCTTCTCTTCGCACCCTTCCTCGTAGGATTGACCTTTTTCCATTTTTTGTCCAACGCCTGATTCTGACATGTGACACGGCACCCCCCTCATTTCTGGATGTCGTAGTCACTTCAGGGAAATCAAGGGACGATGAAATGAAAAGTAATAACATTCAGATGGACTGGACTAACCCAACAAAAAGGGGGGGGAAATCGAGCAGCAAAAAAAAAAAAAACACAGGATGTGTCTCTTATATGCTTGCTTTGTCTTGCTTTCGCCCCCTTGTGCCTGTTTGTTTGCTCTGGTTGGTTGGGTTTGAATGGGGTGGGAAGGGGTGGGGTCGGGTGGGGTGGGGTTGGGTGGGGGTGGGGTTGGGGTTGGGGTTGGGGTTGGGGTTGGGTTGGGTTTGGTTGGGTTGGGTTTGTGTTGGGTTTGGTGGTGTGCTAAACTTTGTTTGTTTTTTTGTTTGTTTGTTTCCCCCTGCCCGCTTTGCAGGGACAAATGATCAAGCACAAGCAGATCATTGGCTACATACAGCAGCTTGGGACACAGCAGCCCATCGAGGTATGGCCAACCTCTTTTCCTTTCTGTTTCCCTAAATAGTAAAATTTCCCGTCTTTTAATTAAGGCTGAAGACCAGCTCCAGCGCCTCTTATATTTGAAGGCTGAAGATCAAGCACAAGCAGACTATGATGTTCGAGGGGCTTCGAGAGCTCCAGCGCCTCTTATATTTGAAGGCTGAAGATCAAGCACAAGCAGACTATGATGTTCGAGGGGCTTCGAGTGAAGGAAGGGAAGCTTGTTGGGGGGGGGGGGGGGGGGTGAAGGGTGGAACACTGGAACCCCCATGAGTTTTGAGATGTATTCAAAAGGGAAGCTTGTTGGGGGGGGAGGGGGGGGGGGGAAGGGTGGAACACTGGAACCCCTCTGGGTCCCACTCGGGTCCCATGGGTACGTCGAGGTCGACGGGGACGGTCCCGGCTGTCTGGCGCAGGGATAGGTCAAATAGGTCGACTATGACTTGGACAATCCCCACTGACTGGCTCTAAGTTCCAGGGCCAGAAGGGCTTGGCACGAAGTCGCAGGGCCAATGTGGACCTAGCACCTATGATGGACCAAGGGCCAATGTGTACCTAGCACCTACGATTGCAGCGGGTTTCAGGGGAGGGTGCAGGTGAACTTCGAAATTTTTTCCAACGCACGGTTGTTAAAGTTATATTTGGGGCACCTTTCAGTCTGGAAGCTGGATAGAGCAATAATGAGTGTGCGATGTGCGTTGTATTCGGGGGAAGACGGTAAGCTGAGTGGAGAGCCAGGCTCTACCCCAGCAGACCTCAGCAGGGCGCAGCCTAAAATCATTTGCACCCGGGAAGGGGAGGGGAGCAGAGAGGAGGAGGACAAACAACCAGGTATTGCGAAGCAGAGGGAGAAAGGAGGAAGAAACGAAGACGGCATCTGGGCAGGAAAGTAATTCAGGCAAAATTTAACTCCCAATAAGAGGGAAGGGGGAGGAACATTGATGATTGGATCGAGGAAAAGACCCCGCATCGATGATTGGAATGATAAAGAAAAAATTAGCACGACCCTATTATTGCCTATAGGAACAATAAAGATCAAGATTAGAGTAGCATGACTCTGAGTCTTGATGATGTGCACTTCATATGCAGAAAGAGAAGAAAGCAGAAGAATGTTGATGGTCATCTTTGATGTCATATAGCAGAGGTTGGAAGACCAAGCACAATAACGAAGAACAGTGGATGCGTTTGAAGAAGGGGCATGGCAGCAATGGCTCCAACGGTGCCAGCATCATTGACGAAGATGATATGTGTTGATGAACAAAAAGGGTGGGAGAGGAGGGGTTGAAAGCTTGTGCAGGTAGGACTGGTGGTATTTTTCCACTATTTTACGTCACTAAGCGTTCTCTGCATAAGCTTTAATAGAGGCACAGTAGACATCCAGACAGAATGATGATAGTATGAAGTGAAGGGGAAAGAAAAGAAAAAAAGAAAAATGAAGTGGAGGAGGTAGATGCTGTCCCAGGTGATGGTCCCCCTGATGATCAGAAAAGAGAAGAAAAAAGTGACTTGGTACAAAGAGGGGGTGCGGGGTCCTGGGGGAAGAAGGGGGGGGGGGGGGGAGAGAGAGAGAGAGAGAGAGAGAGAGAGAGAGAGAGAGAGAGAGAGAGAGGGAGGGGGGGGGGGGGGGGGGGGGGGGGGGGGGGGGGGGGGGAGAGGGAGGGAGGAAGAAGTCTCTGGACTGGAGGAAGCGAGTAGCCTGTTGGCTGTTGCTTGGTTAACCAGGTGGGGTCTGGTTGGGGTGGACCACCACCCCAGTCTACCAGTCTTTGGCACTGCTCGTGTTTTGCAGCAAAAGTCCTGCTGACGTTTTGCGACCGCAGTCATTGCATACAAGCATCATATAGTGTAATGGAAGAACATGTGAAAGGAGAAAAAGAATCGTGCACTACCTCTGACGGCAGCCGGTGTTTTAGTCTAGTGTCTGCCCCTGAGTGAAACGTATGGGCTTTATCGCTGCAACTAGAGACAGAAATTTGGTGCAAGTATGGCTGGAATGTCCAAATTTCAGCTGTATTTGGACCAAATTTCAATTGTAGTATACCAGCCAGGCAGTCCAGGTCACCTTGTTTGCCTGGGCGGCCCGGCCATGCGAGGACCAAAGTAGGTCCACGCATAAATCGTCAAAAGGTCGAAATTAAAAAAAAAAAAAAGGAAAAAAAAAAAAAAAATCAGTCTCTACGTAGGCTACCAGCCAGGCAGTCCAGGTCACCTTGTTTTGGGCGGCCCGGCCATGCAAGGACCAAAGAAGGTCCCAGCAAAAAAATGAAAAAAAAAAAAAAAAATCCTGAAAAAAAAACTATGTTATGGCAGTTATGCAGAAAAATGAACTGAACAACTTTTGCCTCAGGGTCACATTGAAACTCTTTACCAAATTTCGAGTAAAAAATCAAATTATTATTTTTTTTTTTTTTTTTTTTTTTTTTTCCCGGGGGGGGAAGTGATCCCGGGCCAGTCCGGAACGTAGGTCTGTATTACCAGTTACACCAATAATGACAATACGACAAATACGTTCTATTCGGGTGAGGACTGGAGTGATGGGGTAAGTGTGGAGGGGGACCACCAAATATCAGTTCTAAGGTACAACGATAATGGTATTACCTGTTCTCTTTAGGGGAGAACGGTAGTTGATGGCGAAAGTCTGGAGGTGACCCATTCAGTACAGGGAGGCTGGGGGGAGGGGGAGGGGGGGGGGGGGGTTGGGTGGGAGCATTCGAAAAGGTAGGTAAGGTTAATCTATGGATGGGCTGATTGAGCTTATATTGCTGTGGTCATAGAAGAAAGGTATATTGCCGGCCCATCCATATAGATTGGGAACAAGGCTTCCAACCAGCCGCCCATCTATGGATGGGCTGAATGAGCTTATATGTCTGCGGTAAGGTTCCCCAACAGCCCCGCCGCTGTCTAGGGCATGTTAGCGGCCGTAGTGTTTTTTTTTTTTTTTTTTTTTTTGGGGCGGGGGGCTTCTTGCTGATAGTCTACTTGTCAAAATCTAATGTATGGGTATGTCATTCGCTGAGCAATCGAAGCGAAGAAGAACTTGGTACTGGATACCGTACATATTCAGATATTCTATTACAGGATGGTTTACAGGATCTATGGATGGGCTCAATATGCTTATACATATGGACCTTCTTTTTTGTTTCCCTTTGTGTTTTTGGTTGTGAGCAGTCGGAACACGCTGGTGAAGTGGTTCGCTTCCCTGTCGAGGATGGTGGTAAGTACATAAATGAATATTTTTGACTTTTTTGTGCCCTTCATGTTTGTCTTGTTTTTTCTTTTGTTTTTTCTTTGTTTTTTTTCCTGCCGTTTGTTTTGCGAAGTGCGCCCTTTTGGTTCAAAGTTATGTGACCTTATATAAAAAAAATTATAATAAATATATTGGAGTGAATACGATGGCATGCACCATGATGTGAAATGGAAGCTGTTGCTAATTATGATTAACATGTCAACGGAGAAATACTCCAATGCTTTTCTTTTTTTTTTTTT